GTTAAAAGTTTGGCTTTTAAAGAGCCTGCTTCTCTTCCCAGCCTTCGGTGCAGAGCCTCAAATTCCCCTTCCCGCTGCCACAGAAGTTAGAGGGGTGATAGCTTCTGATGTAATATATATAAGATATATATATATATTTTTTTAATTTAGTGTGTGTGTGTGTGTGTGTGTGTGTGTGTGTGTGTGAAGTAGATCTGGCGATGAGAAACTATCACTATCATTTTTCCCTTGTGAACCACATATCAGTTTCACACTTATCATGGAAAACAGATTAGGACATCAGTAAAACTTAATCTGATTTTATTTTACTGAGAAAAAAGATCTAAATAGAAGCTAAAGAAAACTGTGTTACATTCTTACAGTCCTTACTCAGCTGTGCAACTTTTTAAAAGAGAGCTGAATGACATTTTTCAGAAATGTCCAGATAATTTATTCTTCAAAAAATACTTTTTGGTCCTGCAAAACTATCAATGGATTTGAGATAAATCCATGTAATACTTTGACTGTAAAAAAAGATTTAAGGGGATTGAGAAATCCCCTTAAGGGGCAGGGGACTGGGAATCTCTTTCATTTGAGATTTTTTAAAAATGAAACCCTTTCAGTTTTCCATTTCAGAATGTACTTACATTTATAATAATTAAGAAGGGGAGCAAAACCTGAACACTAAGTATTTTTCATTGCCAGTCAATATATGGCAAATAACAGAATGAACTTTTTCATTATTAAGAAAAAAAAATGTAATCTATGCCAGATACATTTTTTCCAGATTTTTCAGTTCAGCTAGGAAACCCTAAATTCTTTCACAGCTTTGCTCAGGACTTCTCAGAGTGTGATTCCAGCTAAATGTTCTGTGTGCGATGACTAAACTAAAGCAAATAAACTCTTTTTTCCCTAATTAAGAACATCCACATTCCAGGTAAATGCACTTTAACATATGCACATTGATTTCACAACTTTCTTTATATTGTCGTAACTTTCCCAAGCATCCTCTTGCACAGGGGTGGCCAGGCTGTGGTACATGTACCTCAAGTGGCATGGGTAGCCTCTGTAGTGAATCAGGAAGTAAACAAACAGCAGGGTGGCAAATAGAGCAGGAAGCAGAGCAGCAGCTTGGTCAGGGAGCATAGGACAGGAAGCAGCAAGCAGAGCTGCCGGGGATTGGAGTTGTACATAGGTCGGGAGCAGGGCTAATTTGTGGCATGTCTGCCAAAAAGGTTGCCCACCACGTGGTCTTGTAGATAAACCTTTAGAAATTCATTAACTGAGAACTAGAGCAGAATTATACAAATAGTTCAGATAACATACTATCAAAAATAGGTTTTACTTCTATCTATTCCTTCTCAAAGGAGTAAATGATTACAGAAGATGTAAGCTTTGTTGGCAGTCTGTGGGCAGGACAGAGCAGGGCATGGCTCAACAGGACAGTCTTGTAACATATAGAGAAACCTTTTCAAAACTGACCTTCCCAGACTGACCCTTCCTTGGCATTTTATCTGTTCACTTTCTAAAGGGTGAACTTATCTGCTCACACCATGTTGTGAAACTGAGAAAACTGACATGATGCATTGCATTTCTTTCTTTCAAATGAAAGCCAGATAATCCAGTTACTTTATAAAACTTTGTATATGGTACCATAATTGTCCCTACATCTCTCACTAAGATATTTCCATTTCTACCCTCCTGTAAGGTGGCATGATTGCTGGGTCTTAGATTGTAGCCTTTCCCTAAAATGGGGCTGGGGTTCCCCCAGGTACCAGCCAGAAAACTGGCAGTATCACAGTTCCTCCCCATTGCTCAGATCTATATTTATTAAGGGCTAGATCCACAAAGAAAACTGAGATACCCAAGTCCACTGTATTTCCCACTTCAGTGGCGTGTACCAGAAATGGACAATTTCAAAATCCTCAAGTTAGGTGCTGCCTAACCATGGAAATGCCTCCAATCCAGAGCCACCAAAGCACCCCAGAATTAATAGTGCTAAGCAGTTTTTGGAACACAAGGGTTCAATTAGTCTCTTCCTGTAGAGTTTCATACCCTGATTGCCCATGTCTCTGAAGGGTCATAATTCTAACCAGCAGCCTACAGGTTTTTGAAACAACAGGTGTTGAGCCACCTACCTGCAAAAGATTATTCACAGCTGTGAAGCCAGAGTGCAGCAAAGTACCTCTCTGCAGTCCAGAGGGAGGTACTTAAGCCCTATAGAGAGCATAAAGAAAGACAAACCACTCTTCTCTAAGACATATGCTATTGGTTAGCATCAGCAGCCAATCAGACTGGCTTTTGTAAGTCCCCATTTTAGTGGCCTACTCTTCCCATGAATTGTTGATGAAGACCAAACACTAACTCAAAACCTAGACATCACTACAGTTGCAGCATTTGAAACCCTCTACTTCCTTCTGTGGCTATAGCCTTAATCTGTTTTATCCTTTCTCATGCAGCAGCTTTCTCCCTTTCTATGTCTGCCCAAGTGGCCTGCAAACGACTGAACAGAATCTACACTATTCCTCTTTCACTTGACTGATATGAGGAAGTATCATGGGGGGCAGGTCCAGCTGGAGTCACTGCAAGGCATTAGAAGGACTGCCATAGCACAGTAAGATCTGTAGTTGTTGTGTCTTATTGTTTTCCTTGTACTGTCCCTTTAAGGCCAAAGCCCTCACGTTCATCACTGTAGGGTTCAGATGCTTTGTGGCAGTTTTGCAGCACTGGAGACTCCCTTTTCTCTGCCATGAGGAGCCACAGGCATTCTTGGTTCCTCTGTCTCCACAGGACTGGACAGGTCAAGGCAGAAGCAGAGGAAGTATAAGTTCTGCATATATATACTGAGGGCAATTGTTAGGATCAACCCTGGATATGATTCAGAATTATAATAATAAATACTTGTTAGTTCAACCCAGGAGTGTCCAGAGTGTTGTTGCTGAACTCACAACATATCAGTAGTCTACCCACAGATTTTTTTCTTTCTCTTCCAAAATTAACACTACAGACAAATCAATTTAAAAATTATATTGGTTTGTCTCAAATAGAATTCTTCAAGTGTTACAAGAATATGATCGGTCTATAAGTTTACTGCCTTCTTTATCTTCTTTAACTTAATATGGAGTTAAAGGTTATTGTTTTGTCTTATTTTTAACTTAGGCATTATCTGCTTCTTTCCCACATCCAATGAGGGCCATTTCATAGGCTTGTCTAACACCTATCCCAACAATACAGTTGGTCATTTAAAAGATATTACCGATCGAAACTTGCTTATCACCAGAGATCTTGGTTTTTCATTTGCTGTGGAAAAACATGGATTTTCTCCTTTAAAGGAGAAAAATGAGGATTTAGAGTTAGATGCCTTGATGCTCCAAGATGCTTTTCTCCATAAACAGAAGGTGAAGTTCAGGTATGTAGAGGTATTTCCAATCCTAAACAAAGCTGCCAAGTAAGTATAAAGTGCCTGGTCCATGGTTACAGAGTGAGTATGTGAAAGAAGAGGGAACTGAACAAGGGTCTCACAAGAATCAATACCTGTTGCACCCTGAGGATGATTGATGCATACTAAGCACTTACCCTATTTCATGGTGTATAGGTTGATACATCATATAAGTCAAACCCATATTTCTGTAAAAAAAAGTGAGGATTGTTGTATGACTGGTGTATAAGACAACCTCACCTCAGTGTGCAAGGCACTAGAAGCCTTGGTGGGCTCACGGGAAAGGGAACATGTTGGCAGGTTCCTGGGAAGTTGGATTGAGCCCTTGGGAGCTCAGGCAGCACCTGGCCTGCTGGTAGCCCTCTCAGCCAGCCCCAGAGGGTGTTGCTGCCATGCAGGGAAGAACCAGACCTCTCGCAGCTCAGGGACTGCCTGGCCTGGTGGCAGCTCACTTCCTGGCCATGGGCCAGGCAGAGAGACTCTGCCAAAAGCAGGATAGGCTCACCATTTGTGTCTTCAGCTGGGTCCTGTGGTCAGCAGCATGCCTGGCACTGGCTGAGAAAGAGCTGGCTTGCCCCAGACATAGCACAGAGTGTGGGGCAAGGGCGAGGGGGTGGGGGGAGGCTAGGTGTGTCAGGCAGAGCTGGCTTCCTCTCTGCCCCTGCCCATGAAATATGGTAGTTACTTCTAGTGACTGATTAGAAATAGTCTTTGATGAAAAGCAATTACATTTTATAGAACTCTAAATGTAGTTGGGATCTTTCTTCTCTTTCTTCATTCTTGTCTGTTTCCAAAGGAAAACAGTATGGTTACCACTCCAAGTTTCATTGCCATGGTCTGATACATCACGTTATTACCTCTGGCACATGCTGTCCCAGAATGTAACGAGTGTAAGTGAGATACTTTCACTAAGAAATCTTTAAAAACTGGATTCAGTCAGCTTACACTACAGATATTTGTCTCTAGTTAAACTAGGTTTTAATGCTAGATCAGAGGTTCTCAGCTGGGTGTCTACGGCCCCCTGAGGGGTTGGGAACAGGTCCCAGAGGGTCTGCCTGGCCTGGCCTGGTGCAGGGAGGAGCTGTCTTAGCTGAGGCAAGTCCAAAGGAAAGGGCAGAGGCAGGGGTGGGCCCACCTCACCCTTCCCAGCCCCACAGTTTCCATCTTGTGCATGGTGCTGCAGTTGGGCAGGAGAGGCTCTATGCTGCTGCTGCTCAAATGAGTGGTGGCCCAGGGCTCTCCGCTGCTGAGCTCCACCCACTGTACCCAGGGCCATGTTGGCAGGGCTGGGGATCTGGGCAGCTGTTATAGTACAGGTGGGCTGTGGAGTTTTTATAGCATGCTGGAGGAGGAGAGGGGGTTCAGGAAGAAAAAGGTTGAGAACCCCTGTGCTAGATAGTGGACCCTATACCTCAAAACTTGGAGAAATTTTATCAGATTTTTCTGATGTCAGTTTCAGTAAATAGCACATCCTCATCCATTACAAACTCGAGGGTGAATCTAAAAAAAAAAAACTAGTGATCACCAGATATCTTTTTTTTCTCTGATTAAAAAATACCCAATTTTCAGATTTAAGAAGTAACCCAAAATCCACATTTTTCCATGATTAAAATGAAACACCACAGATAGCTAGCTAGCTAGCTAGATAGATAGATATAGTAGTGTTTCATCTTGATCATGGGAAAATGTGGATTTTGAGTTCCTTTTTTTAACTCAAAAATTGTTGGTTTTTTATCAGAGAAAACCAAGATCCCTAACTATCAACTAACTATCAGCTATCCCTAACTGTGAGCAAGGACAGTCCAGTGATTGATGCTCTAGCCCAGGGGCAGGAAAAATATGGCCCTCAGGCTGGTTCCAGCCTGCCATGCCATTATATCTGGCCTGTGGGGCACCTACAAAATTTAGACAATTAATATTTATCTGTTCCTGGCTCCCTCTCAAAGATGACAGGAGCCAGGGGCAGCAGGACCCAGGGGAAGCTGGCAGGAGCCAAGACAGCCCAGCCCCTCCACATCAGCCCTCTCCCACCCCTGCCCCACACCCTGAAGTGTCTGCCTGCAGCAGCTTTCCCTGTATGTAGCTGCTTCCCATGGCCCCCAGCTGCATTGCTGTACTGTGGGTCCAGGGGCACGCCAGTACCCTGGGGAGGTGTGTGTGTTCTTGCACTGCCATGCACACAGACCCCCCACACCGCATCACACAGTCCCCCACACACTTCTCCCACAAACCCTATACCCACCCACACCCCACATATCTGCACACACGCACATGCTCCCTCACCCCACACCTATCCACCCCCACAAATTCCTCCCCTACACACCCACACCCTCCCCTATATACCCACATACCCACAGCCCCCCACAAACCTATACCCACCCCATGCCTCCCACACCCTCACAGTTTACAAGAGTAAGACTTCATTTTAAACTAGTGTGTGATCATCTCTATGTACACTACACAAACGTAAATCAGGACAAAAAGATTTTTTGAAATCAAATTAATGAATGTAGTAGATGTTTGATTCTTAGAATATAATTTGGTATTTTTCTGGTTCTGAGATGGCAAAACCCTTTGTGGAAAGGAGTATTTCCAGGGGCAAGGGGAGGGACTTCTGGTGGCAAAGGTCGGGGGGTAGGGGACGGGACTTCCAGTTCCAAGATGGCAATCAGGGGGCAGGGCACCTGTCAAGGGGCATGGTTACCCATGAAGCCCTCAACAGCTTCCCAAAACTCGGTAAGCGGCCCTTTGCCTGAAATAAATGCCTCTCCCTGCTCTAGCCACTACTTTGTTCTGTCACAGACAACTTGTGTGTCCAAGTCATATAGCTCCCCTGTGTTTCTTTTTCGTCTTTGTAAAATGGTGATAATGCCTTTTCCCTACATGATGGGGGGAAGTGCATTAAAGATTTTGAGATGCCCAGATATATGGTAATAGAAGAACATATAAGTGATGAGGAAAGTTGGCTCCAGCCTGAACAACTGATTTATTTATTTACCCACTGGGAGATCCAGTTTTATGGTAGAAAAAAAGTGCGCCCATCTGGCTTCGAACAGCTGCTCATGTGCAGCCTTACTCTGTACCGTAAGGGGTATGAGTTCTACAGCTTCATGAAACCCCTGAGGTAGGTGTTGTTTGTCTCAAGGACCACCCCCAAACTCACCTGCCATGACTTTGAATATTACACCAGTGGAGGGAGTAGCCTCCAGAGGATCCTCAGCAGTGATCACGTCACCAGCCAGATGTTTATGGAGTTCCACCTCCCCTACACCCCAAACCTCGCACCAACCTCTGACAGGATTCCGGATCTTACTGCGGCCGTTCCTCCAGCATGGGTGTTCCCATGCTTCCTCGCCTCTTCAAGGCTTTAGGCTATTGTACCCTCATCTCCCGTGAGTGGGACACAAATTAGCTTGGCCTCTGTGTCCAGAGTCCCCTGCTACTGGCAGGTCCTGTTCCTGAGGCCTATTTGGGTGCTCTTGTGCCAATGAAAGAAAAAGAAAAGAGGACCTGCAACTGCAGGGTCATAGGAATCAATTCGCTCAGCTCTCCTGCCTGTACCTGGCAAGGTTCTTCCTGATGTCGCTCCTCCGACATCTCCCTTCCTTCTTTGTCCCCAGCCCGTCTCCACAGCCCAATACCTGGTATCAACCAGACAGCTGAGCTTCCGTATCCCCTGGGTCAGACTCAGCCTCTCTCCCCGGGTCTCTGTCCTTGTCTCCCCACTGACCGGAGATTACAGCGCCGTGTTCCCTTGATGGTGCATGGAGCTCGTTGCCCCGAGTTCTCTCCCCTGTCTGGGGTTCGATTTTATTTCCACCGGTGCAGGGAGCTCCCGCATCATCTGTTGCCACTCCCTGCCTGGGTTGTCTTTGGTCGTGCCAACCAAATATACAAACTATTACTTCAATTTATTTACATGAACTATAAGGCACAGTCTACAAATATAACAAGTATTCCTTAGACTACCTGGGTGCCCTCCAGGGCAGGGGCCCCACTCCCAAGGTACCACCACAGGAAAGGAGGTTGGGGGAAAGAAAAGGAG